TCCTGGCTAGCTATTGACTAGTCAGCTCTTTATTAACAATGATAGCAATGCATATTCACAGTGTACAAACGGATTATTCTACAGCATTTTCCCCTTTTTGTTTGATTAAAAAGGAAGGCTTTAACTTTAACATAGTAAAACTATATACAACAAATACATTTATCAAGTAAGAATCATGGTCACAATATCCAGTCCATTTGTATTTGGCAAAATCAGAGAAAATACTCGATTATCTTATGTTTATGAGTCTAAAGTTTTATATCTAATTTACTTTTTATCATAACTAAGGAAAACTATAAGTTTAATTATTTAGTCTTTAACTCCATCAAAGCCCCCAGAAGGGTGTGATGTTACCTAATGACAGGGACATCTGGCTGCCTGGACAATCACCCAAAGTTCTTTTGTAATGTTGGGGCATCCAACCCTGGCCTACAGGCCTAGTATATCTGAGAGACATTTCTGAGAAGCAGGGAATTTTGAAGGACTGTCCTACCTTGTCTTGACAAAGTTTGGTAGTCGATTTCTTTTGCATCCTGCTGGTCTAGTTTGGACAGTATACTGTCAGCAATTGAGGCAAGTGCAGTTTCTTTGCCCAGTGTCTAGCTTTTGCCACAAAGAAAGCAAACTCCATATGGAGTTTCTTCAGTGCCCATCATCTTCTTTGGAGTAAATTGGTGCTGCTGGGATCAGGCATGTCTCACTGTCAAGAAAAACCTTATGTTATTAAAACATTTTAAGTGCCATATTCTGTAGATCTTTGAAGTATTTGAAGATCACCTATCTATCTAAATATATCTATGTATGACATTGAAAACATATGTAACATGACTATAAGTTTGATAGTTATGGGTGACTATTAACCTGTATTTCTTTATTATCCTCAATAGCTTTGAAGGAGTAAAACTTTACATACTTAAGCAAGCTACATAGGTACAATACCTTAAACAAAAATAGACATGTCTGGCTTGCATGAGATCCCAGGTTCCATCTCAAGGACCACAAGAAATGAGAGGGCACCCCCTGCCTGTCCCAGTCTTACATGGAGCATTTCTGAGTTAACCCTCTGTCACCACCCAAATGATCCAAACTGGTGGAAGGTGTGTGCAGAAGGGCATTGCTCTTGGACCTGTATGACAGTCCTACTGCACATTAGGTTTAGCTTTATAACAAAATTAAGAGAACATAATTGTCAGCCAATGGCCACTAAGAACAATTTTTTTTGGGTGGGGGGTGGTTTTTCGAGACAGGGTTTCTCTGTGTAGTTTTGGTGCCTGTCCTGGATCTTGCTCTGTAGACCAGGCTGGCCTTGAACTCACAGAGATCTGCCTAGCTCTGCCTCCCAAGTGCTGGGATTAAAGGCATGTGCCACCACTGCTGGACTAAGAACAATTTTTGATGATGTGTTAACCCCATGCTTTTTGTAGCATGTAATTTAGGGTAAGTTCAAAGAATCAAGTGACATTTTCCCCCTGAGCATTTTCCAACCCACCCATAATACCTATGTCTGTAAAAAATGGAAAACAGAATAGACCTGATTCTGATCTGTCTAATTATACAGTAAGAACATGTGTTCATTCTCTAGTAAGTGAACTAATTGAGGAAAATTCCTACTTACCCTTATAAGAGATTTGTTTCCAAAGTTTTTTATTTTCCATGCTGGATAACTGTTTATCGTTCTGCATAATTGTCGCTAAGGATAACTTCAACCAGGAAGAAATGAACATGTCCAGCCTTGTGACTATTAGAGATGAAAGCAAGATTATCTTTCAGTTTATAGGAACATTTTTTGTGGCAGATGAGGTGATCATCAAAAGGCTCCTAAGCATGAAAGCGCATTCTATTAGGGTAACATTCCATGGGCAAAGTGGGATTGGAAACAGGCTCACAGTGAAGAGGAGTGGGGTATAAAGAACCCAGCTATCAAAGAAGAACTTGGCTGTGTATTTTTTTTTTTTTTTTTTTTTTTTTTGGTTTTTTCGAGACAGGGTTTCTCTGTGTAGCTTTGCGTCTTTCCTGGGACTCACTTGGTAGCCCAGGCTGGCCTTGAACTCACAGAGATCCGCCTGCCTCTGCCTCCCGAGTGCTGGGATTAAAGGCGTGCGCCACCACCGCCCGGCTGGCTGTGTATTTTTTAAGCAAATAATGATGGATTTAAAACTGCTGGAGTTTTTAGATTCCATTGGTGACATTAAATGAGGGATGAGGGAAAAGCTTATTTCTATCTCAATGTTTACTCTAGAAATCATACTTCTGTTGAAACTTTTTTTTAGTCTGTCTCGCTGTATCCCAGACTGGCCTCCAGCTTGTGACAATCCTGCCTCAGCCTCCCAAGTGTTCCGATTATAGTAGTGACCCCGCTTACCTATAGGTTTATTCAAAAAGGTGCAAAGAGACTGTTTTGAAGTTTTATTTTAGGGAGTAGACAAGTAAAATACTTTCAGGAGTTTATGCAGGTTAGGGAAGTTGTGTTTCTGGAGGGCCTGTAATGATTTAATATGGACTTGAGGCAGGATAAAGAGACACAATTCAGGAGGCCCCCAGAATGAAGACAGGCAGCATAGGGAGAGAGAGTGGACATAGGTTAAAGGAGGGAGGAGAGGTTGGAGAAGGGGGTGAGGCTAATCTGTTTTGTATTGCTCTAACAAACTACCCCAAAATTGGTAATTTATACAGAAAACAATTTTGTTGTAGACATTGTGTATCTATAATCTCATTCACTGGGAGGTAGAGGTTGGGAAAATTAGAGTTCAAGGTCATCCTTGCCTGCAACGCTAATTTGAGATCTGCCTAGGCTGTACTATAAGTTCCAAACCAGCCTGAGCTGAGAAGTGAGATCCTGACACTGGAAAAGAAAGCAAGTGTGTTTAGCTTACAGTTTTGGCTGCCGAGAGCCTGTCGCCAACACCTCATTACTCTTAGGAGTCCTTCTGGCTACATCATAGCGCAGCAGATGGCATCCTGGAGATGAGAGGAAGAGAAACCCAGGACTTTTTCTCAGCATCACTGCCTTCACAAGAGCAATGCCCCCAATCTACCCATCTTTTAAAGCCCCCCCCCTCAATACCATTACATAGGAACCAAACTGACTGCATGTGAGTCTTTAGAACCTTCTAAAAGGTTCTCAGGAGCAAACCTCTACAAAATATTTACATTACAATTCATAACAGTAGCAAACTTATAGTTATGAAGTAGCAACAAAAAATAATGTTATGGTTGGGGTCACCATAACATGAGGAACTGTATTAAAGGGTCACAGCTTTAGGAAGGTTGATAACCACTCCTTTAGAAGATACTCAAAAGATACACAGACCACCAGGACTGGAAGTTTGGGAGGCTGAGGCAGGAGAATCACAAATTTAAGACCTGACTGGGCTGGAGTGAGTTCAAAAACAGCCTGGAAAATTGAGCGTGAGCCTCTCTCAGAAATGAGAAATAGGAGCTAGAGAGACAGCTCAGCACTTAAGAGCACATGTAGCCCTTAACTCAACTCTTGATCCTCCTGCCTCCGCCCCTCGGACTAGGATACATCACTAACTTATATCTAAAAATAAAAATTAGAACTAGGTGGTACTCCCCACAAACGAAATCACTTTAAAGGACCAATAGAAAAAGGAAAGCATACCTAAACCTCCCCATCCAAGAAGCAGCCTCAGGCGGGCTGTCGGTGCCCTTTAATGATAGTGCCTTTAGTCCTGGCACTGGGAGGCAGAGGCAGGCAGATCCAAGTCCCAGGCCAGCCTGGGCTACAGGGTGAGACCTTGTTTCAAAAAACGAAAACGAAATGAAGCAACAAGAGGAAAGAAGAAGAATCAAAGTTGCCACTTTGTACATTACCTGAGGGAAGAAGTGAGCATGCGCAAATGTGGCTGGCGGGGTGTCGGGAGAGGGTCTCTTGTGAGCATGCGCAAATGTGGCTGGCGGGGTGTCGGGAGAGGGTCTCTTCCACAGCCTAGTGAAGGATGGGCTTCCATTACCTTACTGAAAAGCAATCTGGTTGATCCGCCAAAATTAACAATGTTTCATCTTTGGATGCTGTGGTCCCGTAGAAATGAAACCACTATTTTGTAATTGGGGATATAAACAGATGTTTGTTGTAGTATTGTTTACTGTAGCAAAAGATGAGGACAAAAAGTTTTTTCCATTAGGGAATAGCTTGCTAAATTACTGTATGAGCCAAGGATGGGATATATGGATCTTTAAAAGACTAGTTAGCACTGTGGAAAATCAGCTTGAAGGAATTTCTACAAGATAGTTGATACAGAGGAGAAAAAGAGGCTGCTTGATTTTAACTCCAACAGTGACCCAAGAATAAAATTAATGTATGTATGTTGATATGAATGTAACTATATAAGCATAGAGGCAATCATAGCTAATTATAGGAGTTATCTTCGTAATGATGAAATGAGAGGAGAAAGGAAATTAGGAAAAAAAGACTGCACTGAAAAGCAAAAATGGGTATTATGCTCCCATTTGTGTAGAACGATGCTACATCTATAAAGCCCATCTGAGATTAATATAGATCTGTGCAAGAAAACACAAATGTTACAGCCCTTTATCTAACGATGTCTGTCCAACTAAAAACAGACAAAACCCAAACACCCCTGTCTCAGTTATACCTGTGTGAGAAATTATGTGGGCCAAGAGAAGGGCCTTCCGGGAGTCTGTAGGAACCGGGTCAGATTGAGAAGTGAGGAGATAGCCACCTTTTTATGATCCTCGATGCATGAATGGACCAGCAAGAGAGAAACTGGGTTTTGGCTGTGAAATAATTTTCTAAACAACTTAGGATTTATAGAGAATAAAGTTTTAATCTATTATAATGACTCCAATTTGTATTAGCATTCAAGACTACAAAGTGTCCAGAAAATTCTTTCTGCTCACCATTAACTCTATTGTATTTTTTAGGGTCTCTTTAAAAAGACCTGTTGGAATGTAAATGCTAGGACTGTAGAAACCTGGGGAGGTGGCATGACGGCTCTGTGTGTCCTCACCTTCCTCAGCACACGATGGCATCGTGATTAAGATCGAGGTGCAGACCAACGATGAGGGCTCAGAAGGTCTGGAGACGCCAGAGCCGCTGATGGGACAAGTGGAGGAGCATGGCTTCCAGGACTCAGAGCTGGGTGACCCCTGTGGAGAGCAGCCAGACCTGGACATGCAGGAACCAGAGAACACACTGGAGGAGTCCACCGAAGGCTCCAGTGAATTCAGCGAGCTCAAGCAGATGCTGGTGCAGCAGAGGAGCTGCACGGGTAAGTTAAAGGTGGGGGTGGGGGCTGTAGAGGGAGGGCCCTGTCTCCTGACAAGTGGTCCTAATGAAACCTCCCAGCCTAGGAAAGAAGTTGTTCTGCCCAAGATTGGCTCAAACAAGAACTCAAAGGCAGATGAGGATGGAAACATGTCCAGGGTTACCCAGGTAGTGGCAGAGTTCAGACTTCCTTCTCATTCATCTCAGCACTGTTGTGTCTTTGGAGTTTGGTAGTTTTGTTTTATTTGGGTGGTGGTGTCTGTCTTTGAGCCAAGAGTCTCACCAAGTAGCCCAGGCTAGCATCCCGGTGCTGGGAATGAAAGTGTGTGCCAACACACCCTGCAAGAAAAGCATGTTTTAAAAACAACTGTGGGCAGTGCCTGTGAGCCAATACAAGGGTCTGCTGGCTCTGCCTGCCATTCTGAGTCCTAACCTAGAAAGGGTTAACTCTTCTCTTTCCTTTCCTGTCCATCTCCCCTACCCTCCTCATTCCCCACCCCTGTGCTGGCCAGAGCCTGAGTGTGCTTTCTCTTTACTCTTTGTCTAGGCGCCTCTCTGACCTCCGTGCCAGCCTAACTCAAACAGTATAGCTTTTTCCTTCATTTCTCCAGTCTCCTGTGAGCAGCTGCTGAGATTTACAGCTTGCCTGCCCTGGGGTTTTCCTTTTAAGCTCTAAAGAGAGAGAGAGACTGAGAGACTCCTATCCTTCTCTGGTCGACGACGAGTCACAGTGCCTGTTACTACATAATCTCTGTGTCCTCACTCTCCCCAGGAGTGCTGTACTGTAGCAGGGCATTAAGTGCTGACCCTGGAGTGTCCTTCCTGACAGCTTTTCCCGTGTCCCACTGTTTGGTTGCCTGTTTGTGTTTTTATTTGTCTGTTTTTGAGAATGGGGGCTTCCAGTTGTAGTTTAGATTCCTCCTGCTTCAGCCTTCCAAGTGCTGAGAGTGCAAGCATGTACACCACATCTGGCTGTAATTTGCATATTCTCACTTAGTAAAAACCTCATGGTATCCTTGGTCAAGTGGTCAGGATCTAATTCCTTAGATTTAAGTAAGTGCACAGAGGCCAGGTGTGGAGGCTCACTCTGCATACTCCTGTAACACTACAGGTTACAAGCTGTAGGGCAGCGGTCCTCAACCTTCCAACGCTGTGACCCTTTAGTACAGTCCTTCACACTGTGGTGACCCCAGCCATAAAATATAGTGTAGTTTTGCTACTGTTATGAATCATAATAAATATCTGTGTTTTCCAATAGTCTTAGGCGACCCCTGTAAAAGGGTCATTCATCCCCCAAAGGGTCATGCTATGCTCAGGTACAAAAGACAGGTATAAAATGTTCTACAAAGAATTTGTTAGAATTCAAAAACTAGACTGGAGACATAGCTCAGTGGTTAAGAGGACAGTTCTCAGCACTCATTTTGGGCAACTCAAAATTGCCTGCAATTCCAGCTCCAGTGGGATCCAATACCCACACACAGATACACACTTAAAAGATAATAACAAAGTCTGGTACACCAAATGGTCATCCCAGAAAACATATATACAAATAACATTATGCAGACTGAGTAGGTTATACTTAGGAGAGTGTGTGTGTGTGTGTGTGTGTGTGTGTGTGTGTGTGTGTGTAATAACATCTAAAAAGGAGGCCATGAATTTGAAAAGAGAACAAGGAGGGGTAAATGGGACGGTTGGAGGGAGGAAAGAAAGGGAAGAAATGTTGTAATTATGTTCTCAAAAAAAAAAAATCTGAGCATGGTAGCACACACCTTTAATCCTTAAGAGGCAGGGACAGGTAAACTCTTGAGTTCAAGGCATCCAGGGCTATAGAGAGAGACCCTGTTTCAAAAGCAAACCAAAAAACCTCTCCAATTAAAACTGGTTAGGAAATGCCAAAGGTCGGACTACAAAAGCACCTGGAGAATTCAAATGAGTGAGATGTTCTTAGGTTCTCAGGGGCCCCCATAGAACCTGGCTTTTTATAGATCCTGTAGGGACAAGCCAAGCTTGGAGGTAAGGGGACTCCACCAGTTGGGCATTGCAGGGCACTGCCCTCTGGAGCCTGAAGGAAGCTGTGAGGCTGGTGTTTTCAGAACACCTTGTTCTGGCTGCACAGTGAGACATGCATCTGTAGTTCCCTGGGTTGCCCCAGAAAACCAGAGCCTGAATCCCACCAGAGAGGAGCTCAGTTGGTATTCAATGTCACTCACGAGTCAGGATCACAAAAAACGACATGGAGACTGAGGAGGAGGGAGGAATTAATGGAGGAGGGTCAATGAAGGTGTGATGAGCCCACAGGTGGGCTCAGGAAGGAAGAACTGTCTGAAGACGGAGGAGAAGAAGAAAGTTATGCATCAGTGCTCATTGAGACCACTGCAGACACTAGCTCCAATAGAAAAGTATCGGGGACTATGGGGGTTCAGCCCCTCGATAGTCCCCTCCCAGGGTCTGGGAAGAATCTACAACTAGCTGATAATTTAATCTTTGATGATATGAAATGAATCTATGTACACGAAACTCCTTAGTCCACACACTTTATTCTTCTGAGTCAGTTCTCTCTCTACACAGCTTCTATTCTGCTCTCGTGCCTAGCTCCTTTCTTGCCTGACTTCTCTCTACATTTATCTGTTGTCCCCTCTAAGTTCTAACTTAATTCTCTCATCTTAGTTCTGCCCCATCTGGGTTCTCATCCATCTTGTTCTTACCCATCGTAGCTCCTCTCCCATCTCCTTCTCTCTCGTCTTGTTCTTCCCCATCTGGCTCTTCCCCATCTTCCATCTCATTCCCTCGTACTCTCTTCTAGCCCTTCAGTCTAGTTCTTCCCCATCTCAGTTCGTTCCTCTCCAGTTCTTACCATCTAGTTCTTCCATTCTCTTTTTTCCCCTCTCTCTCCTCCTCTCAGTCTCCTTATTCTCTCAGTTCTCCCCAAGTCTCTCAGAAATCCAGTTATAAACCCAAGCAATAGCAATCCTCTGGCAGAGCAAGGTCACCAGGCTTGAATTCTTACGGGGTCATAAAGGCAGATAAGAGTTTTCCCCAGGCAGTGACCACCAGGCTTTCTTTTACAACCCAGAAGGGGAGTGGTAAAGGAGGAGGTCAACTGAGAACTAATGATCGGTTAGTATATCAAAAAGGGAATTTATGTGCTCAATCTACATTCCTAGAAGTGGTTAGGTGAGAAGTTAGGAGTCTATGATGTTAGCAATAGAAAAGGAGGGTCTCAGGTTGCACAAGAAATAAAGCTATCCGCCTGACCTAGGGAACAGGCGTTTCCACAAGGGTGTTACCTTAGTTCAGGAGATTGTTTGGCCTTGGATGCTTGATAGGTATTTTAGATAAATACACTGTTAGGAGTTCTTGGAAGCACGCATAGCATTACAAGAAAATCACTGTAAGAACCAGCTAATATATATACAAAAGCTAAAATATCACCAAGACTTCTTTAGCCATGGCTTGACCTTTGGAAAAGTCCTTGACTTTTCCAGGTAGTAGCTTTTGTGATTGTAGCTGAATTCCATTATGTTTTCCTGCGGCTTGCAGCAGGAAAAGTGGAACTTTGCTGGCTCCCAGACTTGAGTTCATGAACACAAGCTCAGGCACACTGTAATGGTTCTTGGGACTGGTTTCTTTCCCTCTGAGGACTGATCCTCCAGCAGCTTCCTATCCTGAGCACCAGGGTGCCAAATAGCCATCTCCTCTGCTTCCTCAAGAGCCCTGTTAAGCTCTGAGTTTCACGACTGCTCATCTGAAGGTAGGAATCATGGGACAGGGAACTAGATTTTCCCAAAAGGAGGAATTTGGATAAATGTATGTATATATCTGTGTCTGTGTGTGTGCACACACATGTGTGGCACAAAATCTGTTGGTGAGGATGAAACCTTGTACTTATCCAGGATCGGGGTTCTAGATAATAGCTAAAGTCTTGCTTTCTAACCTTGGAGCAGAGGGGATCGTGATAAAGACTGAGGAGCAAGAGGAGGACGAGGAAGAGGAAGAGGACGAGGACCTGCCACAGCACTTGCAACCCCTTGGGCCGCTATCCGGGAGGTACGAGGCCAGTATGTACCAGACCCCCCTGCCTGGGGAGATGTCCCCTGAGGGCGAGGAGAGCCCTCCACCCCTGCAGTTGGGCAACCCATCAGTGAAGAGGCTGGTGCCCAGCATTCATGGGCATTCTCATGGGCATGGTGAGCGGCACCTGGGCGAGAACCGTGGGACCTCCAGCCAGCAGCAGCGGAACCGACGTGGCGAGCGGCCCTTCACTTGCATGGAGTGCGGCAAGAGTTTTCGGCTGAAGATTAACCTCATCATCCATCAGCGCAACCACATCAAGGAGGGGCCCTATGAGTGTGCAGAGTGTGAGATCAGCTTCCGCCACAAGCAGCAGCTCACGCTACACCAGCGCATCCATCGGGCGCGCAGTGGCTACGGCTCCCCAGAGCGCGGGTCAGCCTTCAATCCCAAGCACTCGCTCAAGCCGCGTCCCAAGTCACCCAGCTCAGGCAGTGGTGGTGGCCCCAAGCCCTACAAGTGTCCTGAGTGTGACAGCAGCTTCAGCCACAAGTCAAGCCTGACCAAGCACCAGATCACACATACCGGGGAGAGGCCCTACACTTGTCCGGAATGCAAGAAGAGCTTCCGCTTGCACATCAGCCTGGTGATCCACCAGCGTGTGCATGCAGGCAAGCACGAGGTCTCCTTCATCTGCAGCCTGTGTGGCAAGAGCTTCAGCCGCCCATCACACCTGCTGCGCCACCAGCGGACTCACACCGGTGAACGGCCCTTCAAGTGCCCGGAGTGCGAGAAGAGCTTCAGCGAAAAATCGAAGCTCACCAACCACTGCCGCGTGCACTCACGCGAACGGCCGCACGCGTGCCCCGAATGCGGCAAAAGCTTCATCCGGAAGCACCACCTGCTGGAACACCGGCGCATCCACACGGGTGAGCGGCCCTACCACTGCGCCGAGTGTGGCAAGCGCTTCACACAGAAGCACCACCTGCTGGAGCACCAGCGAGCGCACACGGGCGAGCGGCCCTACCCCTGCACGCACTGCGCCAAGTGCTTCCGCTACAAGCAGTCGCTCAAGTACCACCTGCGGACCCACACGGGCGAGTGAGCATGCGCCCCGCCCCTGCCCCGGCCAGATGAGCAGCCAGGTGCAAGGGTCTAAGGCCCCTGGGACAGGTGCCTCGGCTGCCCCCAGGCTGAGCCCAGTGGGCGGGAGCGGGGCGCCCCAAGCCCTTCTGCTGTGAACCCTCCTCCCCTCCTGTCCCTTATCCCCAGGAGGGGGTAGTGAGACCAGGTCGCTTGTTGCCTGCTTCCCCAGGGCCCCAGGGGGGGAGCGCTTGGGCCTGGGGAACCCCTTCAGGCTGTTAATTTCCTTGACAATAAAATGGATGAAAACAGTCTGCACGGGGGCGGTGATTTGGCTGCCAGCCACTCACAGGCGCGATGCAGGGCCATTTAGTCGGGGATAGAACTGTCTGATTACCTTTTGGATACTGTGGTTCTATTTGATAATAATAGAGTAATTTTTAAAAGACGAGCGTTTCCTGTTTGCTGTTCTTGTTTAGTTTGTAAGGGGAAGGGCTGAAGTGGCCCGAGGGACATGTGCCTAGTATCAGCTGATTTCCTTTCTCAAACTCATTGTCCATGCTGTGAGAAGGAGAAGCAGGTACCCTGACTATAATCCAGAGGAGGGGCAACAAAGCCGACCAACCCGAAGGATTAAAGGGAAAGTGCAAGGCTGCCAGTCTAACCGCCCCGGTGTCTACCTGGGCTGGGGAATCTCAGAGTGATCGGGAGGTCAGGTTGAGAATGACGTGAAAAGGTGCTCCTGAGGCCAAAGCTGGGGCCTTCCCTCGGGGCCCACACTTTCCTATCCAGCTTGGAATGCCTCTGACAGAGGAGTGGAGTCTGTAGAGGGGGTAAGGACGCGTCTCATGGGTTTGTTGGAGCAGCTACAAATACCATCAGGACGCTTCTCCTTTTTTTTTAACTTTATTTGTAATTATGTGGGGAATGGGACGTGTGTGTGTGTGTGTGTGTGTGTGTGTGTGTGTGTGTGTGTGTGTGTGTATGTATGTATGAGTGCACAGAGAGCTTATGTAGCCCAAAGTCACACAGAAGGAAATGAGAGAGCCAGGATTTTTGTCTATTTACTTTTTTTATTTTAGTATTTTGAAACAGGATCTTACTCTCACCCAGGCTGGTCTGGAACTCACTTTGTAGCCCAGGCTGGTCTCAAATTCATGGCAATTTTTTTTTTCTTTTTTTTAGACAAGCTGTCACTATTTACCTCTGGCTAACCTGGAACTTACTATGTAGACCAGAGTGGCCTGGAACTGATAGATATCCACCTGCCTCTGCTTCCAAAGTGTTGGGATTAAAGGCCTGAACCACCCATGTCTGGTTGCAGCCCAGATTTGAACTCAAGTCTTCAACCCAAAAAGCCGTGTTTGATCATAAAGTTCTTTTCCTGGGATCTGGAGGTTGTTGGAAAGAGAAAAGCCAGTCTGTTATCTAATCCATTTACACCAGATTTTTTTCATTGAAAATAAGATTGAGGGAAAAGGAATCTATTAAGGGAATAGGCTGTGTTTGTCAAAATGGTGAGTGTACTAAGATGGAAATGAACATTAGAGGTAGAGAAAACTCTGGAGTCAAGACAACATTTCCTAGCAGAAGTCATTAAGTGGGCAACTCATGGGTTTTCTTGGCCATCTGAGAGGCTCTTGTGCAGGGGCCAGGAGGAAACGGAGTAGGCATAGGTCTAGTACCTTTAAGGGTGCTTGGTAATAGCCTTCCAGAATTTACTATGTACTCAGCTCCATGAGGAAACAAAATACAAAAAACCATTACTGCCTTGAGAGTATGGATCTGGGCTTTGGGCTTCATTCTCTAAACTGAACCTTTGGCTCTGGAGACACTTGGGCCTTCGGGGAGAACTTTTTAACTCAGGTATCACTGGCAAAAAAAAAGGCCACATCTTTGATTTTCTACCTCTGTCCTTCCTCAGAGCAGTTTCGACAGCCAGATGCCAAGGGAGACCTTTCCTGAGGCACTGTGTGCCAGCTCTTCAGATTAAGGGATCAGGGACTGAGGCCCTGTAGGCCCTTCTGTTGCCAGGGTAATGCTGAGTCAGGCCCAGGCCTCTGCATCAGCCTTCTGGGAAGTGATTTGGCTGCAGAATCGTCTTGCTTCTCATAGTGCGAACCTTTACATCTCAATTTCTTCAAAATCAATTTTGAATTGATCACTTCAAGTTTGGTTCCTTGAAATGTGGATTCGAAGTAAACACATACAATTTAACTTTTCTATTTCTGACAAAGGATAGCTGCAGAATTAAAAAAGTAAAAAGAAAAGGAGTTAGTGTAATACCACTGATAGCAGCCTTACATAAAAACTGCTCTGAAGCCATCGCTCAGAATTTTATTAAGGATGATGACAATAACCTACACCTCATTGACTGTTACCACGTTCTAGGCATTGTGCAAGACCAACGCTTCTGTTTCATACTGTGACAAGCTATGAAATTGCTGTCTCTGTCCCTCTAACAGATGAAGTTCGGACATCAGCCCTAACTTGCATGGCCAGAATTTAACCTAAGCTCAGCCCCGACGTGTTTGCTGTCATGCCTCCCAGTTTCAATCCGGATGATCCTTAATAAAAAAAAAAAAGGCAAAAACTGCAGCTCTGACTCTCACGGACACCTCATTTAAGTCTGGACCTGGCCAAAAGCAGCCATCTTTTGTCACACAACATTGGGACATGCAGCACTTTTTTCCTTAGCCAAGATCTGGTAGATGTTGCTCACTACTGAAATGGGACTCGGGGAAGACTGTCAGTTTGTGTGTTTGTCAAAATGATGGCTGTAGTGATGTGAGCTACTTTGGGTCCTGAGGTTAACACAGTCTACCACCTCCTGAGGTTCTGTCTGAGGATCAGAGCAGCAGCTGGGGAAGGAGACTCTTTTTGTTTTGGTTTGGTTTTTGGTTTTTCAAGACAGGGTTTCTCTGTGTAGCCCTGGCTGTCCTGGAACTCCTCTGTAGACCAGGCTGGCCTCGAACTCACAGAGATCTGTTGTGGAATATTTGTTTACACTGTAAAGATGTGTCTCTGCCTAAGGTGCCTTCTAATTGGTTTAACAAAGAACTAAATGGCCAATAGCTAGACAAAAAAAAAAAAAAAAAAAATAGGTGGAGCTTCCGGACAGAGAGGGGGAAACTGAGAGGAGGGATCTAGGCACAATTTTGCCAACAGACTCGGAACAAGTCAGATGTGCTGTACTAAGAAGAGGTAACTGGGCCACATGACAAAACGTAGATTAAAAACATAGGGGTTAATTAAGTTATAGAGACTATTGGGGGAAAAAAGCCTAAGCTAAGGCTAAGCTGTCATAAAAGTCTCCAGGTCATTATTTGAAGGCTGGTGATCCAAAGATAGTTCAACAAGAAAACTTGCTACAGAGATCTGCCTGCCTCCAGAGGGAATGGGACGTGTGTTTGTGTGTGTGTGTGTGTGCGCGCGCGCGCGCGCGCGCGCGCGCACGCGCGCGCGTGCATGAGTGCACAGAGAGCTTATGTAGCCCAAAGTCACACAGAAGGAAATGAGAGAGCCAGGATTTTTGTCTATTTTTTTTATTTTAGTATTTTGAAACAGGATCTTACTCTCACTCAGGCTGGTCTAAAATTCATGGCAACTTTTTTTTTTTTTTTTTTTTTTTCGTTTTTCGAGACAGGGTTTCTCTGTGTAGCTTTGCGCCTTTCCTGGGACTCGCTTGGTAGCCCAGGCTGGCCTCGAACTCACAGAGATCCACCTGGCTCTGCCTCCCGAGTGCTGGGATTAAAGGCCTGCGCCACCACCGCCCGGCCTTTTTTTTTTTTTTAGACAGGCTGTTACTATATGCATCTGACTGGTCTGGAACTTACTATGTAGACCAGAGTACACATACATTTCCATCAGGAAACAGATGTAGACAGATGTTCCAGCAGGAAAGGAGATTCTTATAAGAAAAAGGCACTAATAAAGTAACACCCTGTCTCTGTGCTGCAGGGTCAGCTACCATCCCTCCCCACACCAATAAGAAGAAATCCTAAACCAACCCAGGCTGACTTTGAACTGGTGATGTTCCTGACTCAGCCTCCAGAGTACCTGGGGTTACAGGTGCCACCAGGACTGGCTCAGAAGCTTTGTTTTGTTTTTCAAGACAAGGTTTCTCTGTGTAGCCCTGGTGTCTGGAACTCTATAGAGTGGCCTCAAACTCAGAGATTCCCCTGCCTCAGCCTCACAAGTGGGATCAGAGGTGTGGCTCTTACCATTCTACCAGCATCCAAGATAAAAATTTTGTGTTGGGGCTGGAGAAATGGCCCAACAGTTGGCTGATCTTCCCGAGGACCAGGGTTTGATTCCCAGCACCCACATGGAGCTCACAACTGTTAGTAACTCCAGTCCCAGGGGATCTGCTGCCCTCTTCTGGCCTCCCAGGACACCAGGAACATATGTGATGCATAGATGTACATGCAGGCAGAATACCCACACATATAAAGTGTGTGTGTGTGTGTGTGTGTGTGTGTGTGTGTGTGTGTGTGTGTTTACCTAGTTGAACATAGTTATCAATGGAAATTACATTGATTTTGTCCAAAAGTAAAAGTACATTGGTTCTCATAATTTACTTCCCAATAATTTAATGATAATTAATGTTAAACTAAAATGACTGCTCATTTCCCTTTGTAATCATGTGTTTGCTTAACTTGAATTAACCAGTGCCTTATTCAACCAAAAGTTTGTGATACATCTTCAAGTAAATTTTGGGAACAGAAATTTAAAAGGTTTCAGAATGCTGGGGGTGGAAAAGAAGCTGCAGCAGCTGAGTGTGGTGGCACATACCTTTAGTCCCAGCACTACAGAGACAGGGTCAGACAGATCTCTAAGTTCCAGACCAGCCACTGCTACATGGTGAGACCCTGTCTCAAAAAGCAAAACAAGTAATATGATAATAATACCAAAACAAACAAAAAAGTCAATAACCAGACCAACTGACATGATCTCTGTATATTTAATTCAAACAGTAGACATATTGAGAGAAATAGAGATGCATTTTTCTTGCCAGCTGCCTGGATTCTTGGAACAAATATTAACTTCACCCAAACAGACTCGGGTGTTCATTTTACAGAAAAGATTAACTCGCCTTAGTACATAATCACAAAATTTGAAAATTTTACTTAAAACTTTTTTCCCCTCAAATGAAAATAGTGGGATTTTTTTTCCCCTTTCTGGTTTAAAAGGAATTTCTGAATTTTTTTTCCTTTGGTTTTTCTAAGACAGGGTTTCTCTGTGTAGTCTTGGTGCCTGTCCTGGAACTCACTCTGTAGACCAGACTGGTCTTAAACTCACAGAGATTCCCCCT